GCTAACAAACACATGAAAGAATGCTCAACATCATTAATCATTAGAGAAATGAAAATCAAAACTACAATGAGATATCATCTCAAACCAGTCAGAATGGCCATCATCAAAAAGTCTAGAAACAATAAATGCTGGAGAGGGTGTGGAGAAAAGGGAACCCTCTTGCACTGCTGATGGGAATGTGAACTGGTACAGCCACTATGGAGAACAGTATGGAGGTGCCTTAAAAAACTACAAAAAGAACTACCATATGACCCAGCAATCCCACTACTGGGCATATACCATGAGAAAACCATAATTCAGAAAGAGTCATGTACCAAAATGTTCATCGCACCTTTATTTACAATAGCCAGGAGATGGAAACAACTTAAGTGTCCATCATTGGATGAATGGATAAAGAAGATGTGGCACATATATACAATGGAATATTACTCAGCCATAAAAACAAATGAAATTGAGTTATTTCTAGTGAGGTGGAAGGACCTAGAGTCTGTCATACTGAGTGAAGTAAGTCAGAAAGAGAAAGACAAATATCGTATGCTAACACATATATGGAATCTAAGAAAAAAAAATGTCATGAAGAACCTAGGGGTAAGACAGCAATAAAGACACAGACCTACTAGAGAATGGACTTGAGGATATGGGGAGGGGGAAGGGTAAGCTGGGACAAAGTGAGAGAGTGGCATGGACATATATACACTACCAAACGTAAGGTAGATAGCTAGTGGGAAGCAGCCGCATAGCACAGGGAGATCAACTCGGTGCTTTGTGACCACCTAGAGGGGTGGGATAGAGAGGGTGGGAGGGAGGGAGACGCAAGAGGTAAGAGATATGGGAACATATGTATAGGTATAACTGATTCACTTTGTTATAAAGCAGAAACTAACACACCATTGTAAAGCAATTATACTCCAATAGAGATGTAAAAAAATAAAGAGTTTAAAATCAAAATAATTAATTAATTAATTAATTAAAATGCTGTTTAATAAATACCAGGATAACAGGAAGATGTATTGTGTAATGAGAATTATTGCATTCTCGTTTGGTGAAGGTGGCTTGCAGCCATCACCTGTGTCCATGTGGCTGCCTTGCGAGCCACACTAGTACATGCTGCCCAAGCAGCCCCTACCCCATGGGCCTCCAAGTTTCTGTTTTCCCTTCCCCTCTGCAAGGCTGTTTTTGTGTGGCTTTGATTAACTCGGGACTATTATGGTGAGGAATTCTAATCATGGACAGGTCCCAGTATCCAAACACAGGGCTCAGTCTCTACAATAGTACCAGGTATTTGGGCAACACAATCAAGCAAGTAAGAATACTTCACTGAGCAAGAGTAACTGGAGCAGGTAAATGCATGACATCATCCCTGCTTTTACTGAGGCTCCCACTGAAATTCTTCTGCTGACCATGTACCAGACTCCTGATGCCAGCCATCCTTTTCCCAACCCAAACCATTGGTCAGATTGGAACTTTTACCACTCCTAGAAAAACAGTTCAGGATCCCATCAAAGGATGCCAAAACTCAGTCAGCCCAGGTAAGCAAAACATTCCACAACACTAGTTTCTCATCCATGGATGAGAGAGCAGGATTCTGAGTCCCAAATGGATAAGGGACTGGAAAATATATCTTAAATAGTTCATGAGCCAACCAAATACAGTTCACCCACTCACAGATTTGTTTGGGTTTTGCCATTGTGGATACAAAATCTCATGTAACACTCGAGAGAAAAATAATGTGTGTTTATCAGAATATTGTTCAAAGTTATTCATCCCCATCACCTCCATGGAAAGAGTATGAATCCTTGCCCCTGGACTTGGCTTTGGCATGATGTTGTCAGTAATTGAGTGATATACCCTATCTTCTCCCCAGATGCAAAAACATCAGGTACTCACCATCATCGATTCCAGGCCAGCCCATGAAGTGAGCAGAAATCTGTTTCTCATCCTTCCCATACTCATTCTTGGCTACTAACTTGTAGTCCCCATTATTCATGTGAGTGGGATTATCCAGCTGGAGGCAGCCGTGGTACTCCGTGTGATTGGTAACATGGATTTTAGTACAGATGTATTTGGATTCATTCAAAATTGCCCCATTATAGAACCACTGAAGCGCTGGTTTGGGGTTGCCTTTCACAGTGAATGGAATGCACCAGTGGTGGTCTGAGGTTGGAGATTCGAGAAATGTGATAGTTGGAGCAACTAAATTGAAAAAGAGAGAGTTAATAGCATCAGAAAGCTCAGAATTCTCCCCATCTCCAGATCTCTGTGTCATCAATAGGGGATTTTTATTCAACCATTGTTTGGTTTAAGAAAACACATGACCCACAACTCTGGAATCCATCAATATTTTGTATCATCATCAAGGTTGATTTAACTTCTACAGAGAGCGTCAGAGAGACTCCTTTCCCTGCTCTGCTTAAAGCCCATGCACTGTAGTCATTTTCGCATCTATTCAGTGTGAGAACCAACTCCAAACAGATTCCTGAGATTTCTGACAGTGGAAAGCGTTCATTTGAAGTTGACTTTGGTTTCTAATATATATGCCTTTGATACTAGGGAGATTAATCACCAAAACATTGAGGACTACTATTTTTACAGGACTTCACTAAATAATACAAATAACGACAAAACTGACTTTGCAAATCTTGCCTGAAGCCCTGATCTTGCATAACTTTTCTAAAACAAGTAAAACTGGTCAATGCAATGAATGTTGCTATCGATGTTGATTGACTATTATAAAGTCTGATAAATTGATAATATTTTTCACCGATGGTCAATAGGAAACTCTCTTTAAAAGCACTACTTTTCATTACAGTACACCCATTTTTGCTGGAACTGGAGATATCAAAGTTTTGATCCTTTAAATGTCTGAGGTCCTATCTAAACCTGAACAAACTAGAGATTATTTTAACCTGAAGTATAAAGCACTTTATTCTTAGGGGAAACAAACATTATCAAGTAGCATCTTTAAACAGAGTACTTATCCTGAGTAAAGCTATTTAAAATCCCTCATAATTGTTTATTTTTATGTGATCTGACTTTGATAATTATAAAATCAAGGACTGGAAGAGACCTTTGAGACCTAATAGCATCATTTTTCAGATGAAGAAACCCAAGTACAATAAGGTTAAGTGACTTGGTCAAGGTTACTGAGTGAGGAAAATCTGGAACAGGAATCCAGATCTCCTAATACCTAATCCAGTAGCCCTTCCCCTCATGCACTGCTTCCTGGTTGTATACATTCATCACACAAAGCGGGGGAAATCATAGCCTGCTAACCAATACACTCTGAGTGGGATCACTGCAAAGGATGTCTCAGTTGCTAATATTCTTTATCACTTATTCCTTCTACTTGTTATCTAAACTTTGATAGACAAGGCCAATTCTCAAGACCATGGAGACTATATAGATATTAACCTAAACTGAGAAAAATTTGAATTGGAGTGCCCTTACTTATAGGTCTGTGTCACAAACACAAGGACCACGATGGGGCAGGAACAATACTTACCTTCCTCCTACCAGCCCAGGTGCCCATGCCTAGGCCTCACTTTTTCCTGTCACCACACTCAAATTAGCTTTATGTGAGGTGTTGACTTAAGGACATAAAGTTGGAAACTGGTTGCATGTGTTTGGGGATGACATTGACTTCAAGCTTCCATGTGGGTCAAAATGATGAGAAATTATGAGTCCAGGACCTTCTGGGCATCGGGGTAGTATTGACAGTGACGAAAGGTTGGTGATTTCATTCACTCCAACAATCACATACGGAATGTGTGTTATAAGTGAATGTTAACCAGTGTATCAAACCTTGTGCCTACATGTGTGTAATGCATATTCATACTTACACACATGCACACTCGTGTTTTTCTCATCCAAATCCTAATCCAAACAGAGTAAAACCTCGTTACTTTATACCATGGCAGCTCAGAATTTCCACTCATGTGAAGATTATGTATTTTTTACTGAATACATACACCGTCCACACTGAATGCAACAATCCGGAATGTTAAGTTATATGTTGTATTGCTTATGATACTGGAAAATAATGCACATATGCTTAAGAAACTTTAATATCGTATGTCTTCAGTAGAGAGAAATTTAAAACAGTTATAAAAGTTTTTTTGCAGGTGATAATAATTTTCAGTCATTTAAGTAGGACTCCTCCAATTCCCCACAGAAGCTTGATGTCAAATAAATGGGGTAATTTTTTTTTTGTATCAACAGTATAATTAGGTGTTTGTGAACAGCCAGCTCAGTACTTTAGGTATCACAACTTTAAAGGTTCATATTGTTTTTACAGAGCAAAAAATTTAGAAACTGGTTTATCAGAATTTAAACTACAACTTATTAACAAAAAGAGGATAACCAGCTCAAAATACGTTCTATCAAGACAAGACAGGGGAAGGCACAAGAGGACACGCTTAAAATCGGAAAAGAAGCTTAAAGATAACGCGTGAACAAGAGAGATTAGAAGAAATAGGACAAGTGAAAGGGGCTGGTAATATTTCTTAATTAAGGATACACAAAACACTGCATATACTTTTTTAATGCACTAAAGCAGCACCCAGAGTGCCCCAACCACAAATGTAGGTGTAGCCACAATCATCTATTAAAAACACATGCCGATCTGATTACGTACAATGTACAGTGAGGTTGACAGAATCTTGATCTTCTCCTACAAGATTTTCTGCCACACAAGAGATTTGCTTTCCACTGTCATCAGATGAAACGTTAGTTATCCTTAAGGAGCCCTGTGTGTGGCTTGTTTCATTCTACAAATGAATTAACAGACAAACATAATCTTGGTTAGGACTGAACCCAAAGTAACAAGATTTGGGGTTTCTTCCCCTAACTGCAGAAAATCATCTATAACATCAGAAAAAAGCTTCTAGCCTAATCGGGCTTAGGCAAAGGAGTTAATCAGAAGCTATTCTATTTCTCTAGATTTCAATTATTTAATGTGTGAAGTTGATTTAATCCTTGAATTCCTACCTACTTTCCTCCGACGGAAAAGATCACAGAGAGTCACTCACCTTGCTCACAGTGACATAAAAAGCTTACTAGAGACCTACAGACTTTCCAATCTATGGGGTATAAATAACTAAAATGCAACCTGCATTAGTCTTTGTTAAGTAAGAATAGGTAGAAAGTAAATGCACAGCAAAAACTCATTGTAAATCTCTCTATGTGGCCCTATAAAATATTAAGTGATTTTCACTAGGTTAATACAATCTCAAGTTCTGAGACACTCTCATCTCTATGAACGCACAGTCAAACACAAGCCTTACCATATGCTTGGAAACCAGATTACCAACATCCCAGTACAAATTCGGAACTGGATCGCCTGCAACACTACAAGTTAATGTGATAGACTTTCCCTCCTCCACAGTGAGGTTAGGTGCAGCCAAATTTGCTGATGGCAAACCTGTGCAGCAAGGAAAGTAAAGGAAGACATATACAGATAGATGCATTATCAAAATAACAGCAACAAGCTGAAAACTCTTTCTGCTTTAAACTCAATAATTATTTACTTTCTGAGACTGATTTATGTTGATCTGAAAAGGTGCCAGATTGATGAGCTTTACAGATTTGATGTGAACTAAAAGATATGTGATGAGATCTGAAAATAAATTTTGCACATTTCTTAAAACTATCATTGCAGAGTAACCTTTTATTTTTAAAAACCCCACTAGTTTATAGAGCTATGTCTTCTAGCTCTTGTTCTGTTTTACTGTTATCAATCCAGTTGTTGCACATAAATAGTCATTTTATCTGTAGATCATCTTACTTTTCCCTCAGTTTCCTCTCTTCCATTTTTTATAGTCAAGGACAAAAGTGTGGGAGGCATCTACAATTTTTGCATAAATCCAGTTTTTGCATTAAATAACTCATAAATCTAACTTACTACCAGAACTAGATTTTGAAAGAGACAAACTATGATTTTGAAATATAAGTTTAAAAATCAGACCTACATTTTGAAAGAGTCCAACTGTGGAAGTCAGTTTCAAAGCATTTTTCAAAGACATGAAGCTTGAACCATAACAGCATTAGAATGTTTCAAAGCTATATAAATCATAGTTAAACATTATAGGTAAAATTGGTCACCCTATCTATGATATGATGAAAAAAGTTTTATGGATCGTTATTCCAATGAAAAGTTCTTTTTTGGAAAAACCTTGAGAAAGTATTTGTTATAGGATGAAATTCTGATGCTTATAAACATTTCTTAATATTTCAGGACAGCATCATTTTTATACTTTGATATTTCAAAAGCTGGCTCTTCTTTATTAATGCTATCACTTCATTAAACTATTACGCCATTTGGAGGTTTACACTGTTTTTTTGTTTGTTTGTTTGTTTGTTTTTGCGGTACGCGGGCCTCTCACTGCTGCGGCCTCTCCCGTTGCGGAGCACAGGCTCCGGACGCGCAGGTTCAGTGGCCATGGCTCACGGGCCCAGCCGCTCCATGGCACATGGGATCCTCCTGGACCGGGGCACAAACCCGTGTCCCCTGCATCAGCAGGTGGACTCCCAACCACTGCACCACCAGGGAAGCCCTATACTGCTTTTAATCATAGTATTTTTAACATGAAGGTGGGTCTCAGAATACATCACGTCCTGCCAGTCAAGCAAGCCCCTCCCTTGGTATCAGAAACTCTGCTTAGGACTATATTCACCCCAACAGCTGTGTTCCATGGAACTATGACCCTCAGGAGGAACCCAGAGGTCAGAAAAGGCAACTGATCTTCAACGGCCATTAAACTGCAATTAATCTGCCCACCTAGTGGTATCTGACCCGTCATCTTCACCATACTATGCACAAATCCTTCTCTTACAATGCAGTCCTTACTGACAAAGCCATTATTATTTATTACTGAAACTACACTATAGCAAGACTTATACAGTATATGTCTCATGGTATTCCCACCATTGATAGAGGACTTCCCAATAAGATCTGGCTTTCAGTGGCTGGTGTGACTTCTTCAGAGCCCTTCCTTCCTGCCAGCATCCAATAGAGAGCAATGTTATATATTTCACGGGGTTTCAAACAGCCCCCTAATACTCTGAGTTGAACAGGGCAATGAAGTGTATACAAATGATCAAGAGGCACTGCAGTTAACCGGAATGAACACTGGGTCAGGAGTCAGGAACCCTAGACCCTAAATCTGGAATGTACTGTGTGACTTTGGGTGAGTCATTTCTCCTCTCTCAATGTGTTTTCTTCTCTGTAAAATTACACTGTTCAATTAGAAGATCTAGCTCTAAAGTTTTCTAGCTCTAATATCTGATGACAACTTCCATGACAATTAAGCTTCCCAATGTAAGAAGCATGCCATGGCAAGATATAAGAAATGGGTTTATTTTTTTTTAAATCTCCTTGAAGCCAGTGGTATGATCTAGGTGACTTTTTCAAAATATGCATTTTTTTAATCAAAATACATAGTCGCATAGTTTAAAAAGTCTATAATTCTACAAAACTTGTTATATAAAACACTCAAACTACCTCTAAGTTCAGGAACAAGAGAATGATGCCCACTCTCGCCACTTTTATTCAACATAGTATTGGAAGTCCTAGCCACAGCAATCAGTCAAGGAAAATAAATAAAATATACCCAAATTGAAAAAGAAGAAGTAGAACTGTCACTGTTTGAAGATGCATGATACTATATGTAGAAAATCCTAAAGATACCACCAAAAAACTACTAGAGCTCATCAATGAATCTGATAAAGTTGCAGGATACAAAATTAATATACAGAAATCTGTTGCATTTCTATACATTAACAATGAACTATCAGAAAAAGAAATTAAGAAAAAATTCCATTTACAATTGCATCAAAATAATAAAATACCTAAAAATAAATCTAAGGAGGTAAAAAACCTGTACTTGGAAAACCATAAGACACCGGTGAAAGAAATTGAAGGCACCAGCAACAGATGGAAAGATATATTGTGCTCATGAATTTGAAGAATTAATATTGCTAAAATGACCATACTACCCAAGGTAATCTACAGATTCAGTGCAATCCCTATCAAATTACAAATGTTTTTTTCACAGAACTAGAACATATAATTCTAAAATCTGTATGGAAATACAAAGGACCCCAAATAGCCAAAATAATCTTGAGAAAGAACAAAGCTGGAGGTATCATGCCCCCTGATTTCAAACTATACTACAAAGTTACAGTAATCAAAAGAGTATGGTACTGGCACCAAAACAGAAACATAGATCAATGGAACTGAACAGAGAGCCCAGGAATGAAGCCACACTTATATGAGCAGTTAATCTACTACAAAGGAGGCAAGAATATATAATGCAGTAAAGACAGCCACTTCAAAAAATGGTATTCAGAGAACTGGACAGCTACATGCAAAAGAATCAAAGCTGGACTACTTTCTCATACCACGAACAAAAATAAGTTCAAAATGGATTAAATATTTAAATGTAGGACCTGAAACCATAAAAATTCCAGAAGGAAGCAAAGGCAGTATACTCTTTGACATTGGTCTTAGTAATGGATTTTTGGATACGTCTCCTCAGAAAAGTGGGGAAAAAGCAAAAATAAACAAATGTAACTGCAACCAACTTAAAAAACTTTTGCACAGCAAAGGAAACTATCAACAAAATGAAAAGGCTGCCTACTGAACAGGATAAATATTTGCAAACTATATATCTGATAAGGAGTTAATATGCAAAGTATACAAAGAACTCATTCAACTCCACATTTTAAAAAATCAATTAAAAAATGGGCAGAGGACCTAAATAAACATTTTTCCAAAGAAGACATACAGATAGCCAGCAGGCACATGAAAAGTGGCTCAACATCACTAATCATCAGGGTGCAAACCAAAACACCCTGAGATATCACCTCACACCTTTCAAAATGGCTATTATCAAAAAGACAACAAATGACAAGTGCTGGCAAGGATGTGGAGAAAAGGGAACCCTCATGCACTGGTGGTGGGAATGTAAATTGGTGCAGTCATTATGGAAAACAGTATGGAGATTCCTCAAAAAATTAAAAATAGAACTACATATTATCCAGCAACTCCACTCCTGGGTATTTATCCAAAGAAAACAAAAACACTAATCAGAAAAAATACCTGCACTCCCATGTTCATTTCAGCCTTATTTACAATAGCCAAGATATGGAAGCAACCTAAGTTCCCATCAGTGGATGAATGGATAAAGAAGATGTGGTGTATATATTCAGTGGAATATTAGCCATAAAAAAGAATGAAATCTTGCCATTTGCAACAACATGGATGGACCTAGAGAGTATTATGCTAAATGAAATAAGCAGACAGAGAAAGACAAATACCATATTTCACTTATAGGTGGAATCTAAAAACCAAAACAAATTAACAAACATAACAAAACAGAAACAGAGTTACAGGTACAGAGATCAATCAGGTAGTTGCCACAGGGGAGAGGGGTGGAGGGAGGAAAGAAATGAGTGAGGAAGATTAAGAGATACAAACTTCCAGTTGCAAAATACACACAGGTATGAAATGTACAGTGAGGAATATAGTCAATAACTATGTAATATCTTTGTATGGTGACATACCATAACTAGGCTTAGCATGGTGATCATTTTGAAATGTACAGAATACTGAATCACTATGTTGTGTACCTGAAACTGAGTGTTGTAGGTCAGTTATACTTCAAAAACAAACAAACAAACAAGCAAACTCATAGAAAAAGAGATCAGATTTGTTGCTACCAGAGGTTGGGGGGGGGGGTGGAAGGAGAGGAAGTTAGATGAAGGTAGTCAAAAGGTTCAGACTTCCAGTTATAAGTAAATATTAGAGATATAATGTACAACACAGGGAAAACTTTTTTCCGTTTCTTTAATTTTGTATCAATATGAGATGACGGATATTCACTAAACCTATTGTGATAATTTCATGATGTATGTAAGTCAAATCATTATGCTATACACCTTAAACTTATACAGTACTGTATGTCAGTTATATATCAATAAAACTGAGAAAATATAAAAACAACTACAAACCCAGGGGGAAAAAAGAAACAAAAATATTCAAACTACTATGTGAGAAATAGTACCCATGTGGCACTATTTCCTATTCCCAGAAGCACTCATTTCACCTCTTTTAACTTCTTTGGGTATTGATCTCTATTATCACTAAATATCATGCTTATATTGCTACTTCTTGTTTTTTCTGTTTTAACATTATCTACTGACCTCTCACCCTGGAAGGTGAGAACTAGGCTCATGTTCACACAGAAAGCCAGCTCTCCCCACATGCCCACACCACACTCACACTATTCTGTCTTCATATCTTACCATCTGCTAAGAAGTTTTTTGTTTTCTGGTTTTTCGTGGGTTTTTTTGTGGTACATGGGCCTCTCACTGTTGTGGCCTCTCCCGTTGCCTCCGGACGCACAGGCTCAGCGGCCATGG